GTAATTTACACTAACTATACATATATGTATGAAGAGGTAAAGTTTGTGAGTTTGTCTGTGAGCACTCTTTAAAACTACTGAACCGATTCAGATTATTCCTAAGGGTTTTCCTTTTAAATAAATAAATTATAAATCTCCTTAAACATTTTACACTGCGCCGCTAGTCCCAAACTAAGCAAAGCTTGTACTATGGGTACTAGACAACGGATATAAACTTAAATTTATACTTTTTTTTTTGTAAATACATACATAATACATAGAAAACACCCAGATCCGTCACAGAAACTAAAATTCATAATTTCAATTTCTGCCCGATCGGGAATCGAACCCGGGACCACTCGGCATAGTAGTCCGTTCTGAACAACTACACCAAACGGCCGACTAAGTTTTAGAAAGTAGGTGTTTACTAAGACAGGATTTTGCAAAATTCTACCCCTTAAGGGGGTTAAATGAGGTCCATGCGTACGAAGTCGCGGTCGGCCGCTAGTATAAAATATGTGCGGTTCGTCATTATAAAACTGCTATACATAAATAAAAATAATGAAGCGCAGTGATTATAACCCGATAACGAAGGTATGCGCCCACGCATTGTTACTGCTAGGAAGTTGTACAAATAACACATATGATTATGTACAATAATGTTTTAATATCGCACTTATCACAACTGCTTAAGATGCTTTAATCTATATCTATAAAAGCGAAAGGTCACTGACTGATTGACTGACTGACTGACACACTCATCATCATCATCATTTCAGCCACAGGACGTCCACTGCTGAATATAGGCCACCCCTAATGACTTCCACATCGCACGGTTGGTAGCGGCCTGCATCCAGCGCCTTCCTGCTACCTTTATCAGGTCGTCGGTCCACCTTATGGGTGGACGTCCCACGCTGCGTTTTCCGGTACGTGGCCTCCACTCCAGAACCTTGCTGCCCCATCGGCCGTCAGTTCTGCGTACTATGTGCCCTGCCCATTGCCACTTCAGCTTGCTATTCCGTCGGGCTATGTCAGTGACTTTAGTTTGTTTACGGATCTCCTCATTGACTGACTGACTCATCACAAAATCTCAGAAACTGCAAGTGTTAGGAGTATCTTTTGCAAGGGGGTTGCTTTTAGAACGTACTTGCTCATTAAGACGGGATTTTTGCAAAATTCAACCCCTAAGGGGGTAAAACGGGGGTTGGAAGTTTCCACGCGTACGAAGTCGCGGGCGGCCGCTAGTATTATAAATGACTGTACACACAGATTAGTTTTCTATCGCACTAGTAGTTACAGCGACTTTGGTAAGATTTGGTAGCTAATCCGGTGGACTTAGAAGTTTAGAACAAGCCTTCTCAACCAAACTGAGTGAATTTTTTTGCCCCTACTTAGAAATCGAACCTGGGACCTTTGGATCCTTACCCCTAGATCACAGTGGTTATGGAGCAATCAGTGAATGCCAGACCTACGTTATTTTATAAAAGCTGAAAGTTTGTCAGCGCATGCTCCCAACATAGTAGGTAAGAACATTGGACCTTCATAAAGTTTGGCTTTGACTTTATAATTTTCATATTATCGTTAACGTTCATGCCTTATTTCACTAAAAATGCACCAAATCTGTAGTCTTAGACTAGCCGCAGCCACCGACTTTTAGTTAGTCGATAGTTTGCCCCGATTCTAATTTTGTATGAAGAATCCGATAACAAATCGGTGTAATGTGCGCACTCTCATACATCTCCATACTGATTAACAGCCCGACCCAACTATCGGCCAACTAAAAATCGGTGGTCTGCGTCTAAGCTTATAAAATATGACCTTTTTCTAGGTCCAATCTATCTATCACAAAATTCATCAAAATTAGTTTGGTGGTTTTAAAACGAAACAGACATTACTTTCGTATTTCATACTTGTTTGTCATATCAGTATTGTTCATTTATTATTTGTGATTGGCATAATTTATTACTTACTGTCTGAAGCCTTAAATAGATTTTAGCCCTGTTATACAATGTAATAAATGTTTTCATTTATGTACCTAGATCTTATCTTATTCGTTCATTAAACTTGAACTAAGTGACTCACAGGACTCGAACTCAAGACCGCGTAGGAATTGAACCATAACCATGAAAATTGGTTTATAAAGTAAAAGTAATTATTTTTTTTGCAAAAAGCGCCTTTACATGTCCCAGTATTAGGTACTTTCACCCTACCACTGTTTCGGGGACAATAAATGGGCCAGTACCTCTAGCACGAAAAAGTTTCGACTTCGAATCGTTTGCGTATTCGAATCGCCATCGCGCCATCAAAAGATTTAGTAGGAAAACTAAAACAGCGCCCTTGTGTAAAGTAAAGTGAGCTTAGTATGAGAAATTGCACGAAACTTATTTTGAGAATCAAAATTGTCACGTTATCGTTTAATTCGAAGGTTGAGTAGGTATCGGATTTTGTCGAATTCGCAAACGATTCGAAGACGAAAGTTGTTCACTGTGTGTGACTGTGCAGCGCAAGAAACTCATGCCCGTTTTCACCATAAATCCCTAATTTTTAAGTGACCCCTATGAAAACAAAATTCCTGATAAGTGTTACCATAGGGGTAACCTAAAAATTAGGAATTGATGGTGAAAACGGGCATCAGTCAACTTTGTAGGTCTACCTTGAAGAAAGAGCTCTTCAATCCTACAGAATCTAGACTGGTTTCAAACCAGTGTTAGCTGGGATTCGAACCTCGGCCTATCCGATTAGCACTAATTGTGTTAGGGGTGTTTTAAGGTCACGGTTGTATGGGGTATGTCACGAAAAGGTGGGTTTTAGGTGTGTTATAAAATACATAATTAACACGCGATTTTTTACACGAGATTCGTTTTTTATTCAGAAATGGGGAAGCTCTTGGCCTGCATCTCACTTGATGGAAAATGATGATGATCAGAAATTCAACCCTATTGTTTGGAACTGTTTTTTTTTGTTCGTGAGTGTTATTGAGATACACATTTATTTATTTATTGTTTAAGATTTACCAACATGCAATGGAAGCTAGTGGAGTACTCCAATTGCAGAGCAATGATTTAGTTTGTGAATTATGTTGATTGTAATTTGTTAGTTCCTTAAGTTTGGTTAAATTCTTTTAGGTGATCGACTATATGGGTAGGTAATGTAGGCTTTGAAGCTTTTTGGTGTGTCTTCTTTTCTAATTATGTCTGGTAGATTATATGGGTTGATATTTAGCAAGCGAAATGTCATTTCATGGTTATATCGGGCTGAAGCAAATCTAGGCACTGTGTTAAGAGGTGTTTCCAAGTTTGTGGAGTCTGGTCATCGCAGGGACAGCGGTCATCTGCGACGATATGGAATAGATAGGTATTCCTTATGATTACCGTGGTTGGTTAAGACCTGGGTGGTGGCAAAGTCCGGTCGGATAATCTTTATAAACTCCTGCATGGTGTTGTATGTTGGCAGGAGGGATCTTGTATGGACGCAGGTGTTCGGGTTCATATACAAAGTTCTGGCCGAACAACAATGCTGTTAACATTGTTGTTATGGCCACATTACTTTGGTAAGATGATGTTTAGTTACTTTTAGGCTTAAGAAAGACAAAAAAACTTTTAGTACAGTCAGTTAAATAGTTCGTGACACCCAAAGTAGCCAAAAAGTTCGCAACACGTCTTTGTTACAATGAGGGCTATCGTTTTTATACTTAACAGTTGGCACCCCTGGCGATTGACAGGACCTTACTCTACAGTGGCGCTAACTGTTGAGCGCTAAAACGATAGCCCTCATTGTCACAAAGACGTATAGCAAATTTTTGGCTACTTTGGGTGTCACGATCACGAACTAAGTATTTGACGCTGAATGTACTTGTATTTTCAGAGTTGCACCAACTTATTTTAACCGTAACTATAACAATGACCGGTGTTTTTTGTATGGAGTTTGACAGATTTATGACGTTTGTTAAAGCTAACGTAAGATGGTGCAACTCGGCCTAAATGTCAGACTCAATAACAGTGATTGAATCTATCTACTATATAAAAATAAGTCGGGTTTTCCTCCCTGACGCTATAACTCCAGAATGCACGAACCGATTTCCACGGTTTTGCATTCGTTGGAAAGGTCTCGGGCTCCGTGAGGTTTATAGCAAAGAAAATTCGGGAAAAGGGGGTAAAACAGGATCCACGCGTACGAAGTCGCGGGCGGCCGCTAGTACTTCTATACTTTTGATATTATAAATGCGAAAGTAACTCTGTATGTCTGTCTCTTTCACGCCTAAACCACTAAACCGATTTTGATGAAAGGCATAGAGATAGTTTGAGTCCTGGGAAAGGACATAGGATAGTTTTTTCCTCGGTTTTTGAAACAAGGACGCGCGCGATAAAGTTTTTCTGTGACAGACAAAATTCACCGCGGGCGAAGCCGCGGGCGGAAAGCTAGTAACAAAATATTGGTGGCAGTAAGTATTTTTTTTTTAAATTACATTGACCTTAGTTACATACTTAAAAAGATTCATACAAAAAGATAATTCAGTCACGTATTTACTGTTGAAAAAGACCTTCGTGGTTTTTCCCGTTGACCTATAGGTAAATAAATAATTTTCAATAGTTATTTGTAGGTAAAACAAACATATATAAAAATATGCCTATGTTCAACAGAATAAAGTTCGGATTTTAATGGTGAAAGAATTTTTCAAATTGGCCCAGTAGTTTCGGAGCTTATTCAATACAAACATACAAAAATCTTTTGACCTTTTCTCTTTAGCATTTTTCTTACAGAGTTTAGGTATTTCAAGTACCTATGTCTGTGTTTTGTTTGTTTCGCGCCTGAGTCATTTACATACACCATTGATACAATAATTAGCATAAAATCATTAGAGCTATACCTATCGTACGTTCGAGAATTTTTGCATCTCTTAACTATGTCAACACAGGTATAATATTTACCATGATAGATAGATAAAAAGTATTTATTTGTCTCAAAACAGTTTAATTATGCCATAAAACCCAACCTCTTTGTTCAAAAGTAAAATAACTCTCTTTGTGGAATTATCACCGTGTTTTTATCACAATCAATACAAACTGTATTTGCCACAACAAAGAACTTCACAAACTTTTTGGAACACAACTGTCAATAAAAAAATACAACAACACTGGCCACAACACTTTTAGGGGGAAAAAAACAAAAGTTTTGGCCCAATCACAGCGCGTCACCTTGTTTACATTTGAATTAAATTTAGAATAGAACGCAAACGTTCGTTCGGTTGGATGCGCGCGCGCGAACTGACTATTCATACTGCATTATCAACGCGTTCCTTATCTATGTAGGCGAATAAGGCGGAATAAGAATCTAATTAATATTGACACTAGCATGTTTGTAAAAGAGTTTAATACTTTATTTGGCACTGGCTACTTAAGTATATTAGTCACCAAAACTTGAAGCCAACGAACCCAACATTATTAACTGCGAAAGTAACGAGTTTGATTAAATTTGGCAAAGTGATTGTTTGAGTCCCGGGAAAGGACATAGGCTAATTTTTATCCCGGTTTTTGGAACAGGGACGCGTGAGTTAAGGTTTTTCTGTGACAGATAAAATTTCACGCGGGTGAAGCCGAGGGCAAAAGTTACTTTGTACCTATGTAGTAGTAGCTTTATGGAACTGGCTAGACATTTAAAATACAAAAGTACCTTATCATTTTTATCATCATCATCATCATCATTTCAACCACAGGACGTCCACTGCTGAAAATAGGCCTCCCCCAATGATCCATATTGCCCGGTTGGTAGCGGCCTGCATCCAGCGCTTTCCTGCTACCTTTATAAGGTTGGTCATCATTTTATCATAAGTTCGAAAAGCAATTATATTGTGGCTCATACAGTTTTTCGGGATTCAGTTATCCCGCAAAACTGGACTGTTCTATGAACACACATGTATGTTTGAAATTTGGATTACAAATTCCGACGGATCGGTTTTTCGCGGGACACTACAAACGGGATGTTCGCGTGAACGTTACAAAGACAAAGACATTTATTTGCAAAGAATAGGTTGATACAGATAGTGTTGTAAATACAAAGTGCTCTATTCTGCTAAAATACATTAACATGCATTGTCCAGAAATTCCTGAACACTGTAAAAGCAGGAAGTGGTTAGCCATTCCCTAAGCTTTCTGGTCATTACTTTTGCAGGACCTATTTTAAATCTTTCAGGAATTTTGTTATAAACCTTAATGCACATAGAATAACAATTTTTATGACAAAGTGCGATTTTTGGGCAGAAGTCAAATACTAGTTTATTTGCTGACCTTGTGTTTCTCGGGTATACCTCAGCAGCAGTTTTAAACAATTTTGGATGTTGTGTTACAAATTTGTAAATTTCAAGTAGGTATGTACATCCCGGGAACAGTGAGTATGCCTAGTTTCACAAATAATGGTTTACATGTTTCAAAGGGCCCTTTACAACATAGAGCTCGTATGCATTTTTTCTGAGCTATGAAAACCCTTTGTATATCGGTACCATTTCCCCAAAGTATGAGCCCATAGCTTATAACAGAAGCAACATATCCGTAGTAGGCACTTAACGATACACTCAGAGAAGTAATTCTAGTCAATCTTCGAAGGACGTAAACAAATCTATTAATTTTTTTACACACATTGTCAACATGGCATGAAAAGTTTAAGTTTTTGTCCAATAAGATACCTAAAAATGTCAAATTATTTACGTGGTCCAAGGTTATTTCATTATTATAATTTATGTCCATTTTAATTTCTTTACGTCTGTGGCGGCTTCATACATCACTACGGAACGCGCACAACACTACAAACCAACGAGCATCGATCTCCATAGCAACGAGTCCTGTTTTTTCGTCTTTTCTTTTATCAATTTTCATGTGGGATTGAATATATTTTCCTGAAGGTTCGCAGTGGTTTTATTGTAGGGAAAACCCACACGTCCTTTTACTTTGAATTGTATAATATTTCGTTTTAGCTAAATTAGCAGTCAGATTATTATGGTTTAGCCATTTCATTATGTCATTTATAGTATTGTTAATGTCATATTCATAGAGATTTAATTTGTCAGCGTTACATTTGATTATTACGGAAAGATCATCTGCAAATAAAATACACCTATGTTTGGTAGCAGATGGTAAGTCGTTTATATAAAGTAAGAAAAGTAGCGGTCCCAAGACGCTGCCTTGGGGTACACCAAATCTGTTAGATTTGTAAGTAGATCGGCATGTGCTATTTTCGTGATTTGATTTGGTTATTTCAACACACTGGTGTCTGTTCTCCAGATATGATTTAAACCACTGTAGCGCGTTTCCACGTACTCCATATGCTTCTAACTTATCCAGCAATATGTCATGAACTACCCGGTCAAAGGCTTTAGACATGTCAAAAAAAAGCGCAGTAGCACATTGTTTTGAATTTAGGCCAAGGACAACTTCATGGACCAGGTTGAAGCAAGCTAGAGTAGTGGATTTTCCTTTTTGGAAACCATTTTGTTCTGGATTGATAATGTTAAACTTTAGACAAAATTTCATTAGCCTAGCTTGCATAGCCTTTTCAAATATTTTTGATAGCACAGGTATCAACGTTATAGGGCGATAGTTACCAATTTCAGACGTGTCCCCTTTTTTGTATATGGGCTTAACTCTAGAAAACCTCAATTTTTCAGGAAACTGTCCTGTCTCAAAAGATAAGTTAATGAGATATCTTAATACAGGAGCTAATTCATGGCTACAGTATTTTAAAATTTTTGTAGGAATTTCATCATACCCACATGCATTAGAATTTTTAAGAGACTGGATTAAATTTATCGTCTCTTTTACATTTAAAGGTTCCAAAAACAGGGAGTTAGGAGTAGATTTTAAATTAGTTAATACTTTTCTTTTTCTTTCGTTGTCATAAATAAATTTGTCACCACATATGTCAGTATAATAGTCGTTAAAAGCTTGAGCTATTTTGTTTGTATTTGTTATTATATTACCATTTAAGTCAATCTTTGAAATACCTAGCTTCAGTTCGCGGTTTTTTGTTTCATTGTTAATATTAAAACACGTATACTACTAAACGGGATAGGCACTGCATAAAGAAGGACCTGCAAAAACCTGGATGTCTCAGTTGTATCAAGCCCGAAAGGAATAAAGGACTTAAAACAGATTTAATTGAACAAAAAAGTCAAGAACGATTTTTGGCGGCCATCATGGTCTGGTAGACAGTGACTAAGCGAAGCGAATTCGATTTGAGCCAAAAAATAGACCTAGTTTTCTAGTTTAGCATTCAAGTTTTATCGAATGTTCTAGATCTATTAGATAATTAATAATTCTAAACAAACGAGTACTTAAAAACCCCATTTTGTTGTATTTCTCAATCGTACCTATGTTTCAAAACTTTCAAATCATAGGGGAGATGGGCCCAAAGCGGGTAACTTAAGGTTTGTGTCAATAAAAAAGACGTTACTGCAGTTGCAAAGTTATATATGTTTAATAATTCGTACAAGTATGTATTAAACTTTGTAATAAAAACTGAAAATCACTTCTCTTGTAACAAATCACTTCAAAAATTTAAGAACTAATCAGTCGGTCATTTTACCCGGTTTGCCCGCAGGGGGTGCCCAAAGCGGGTATGGCCCCTGGGGCAAAACGGGTCGAGACTGGGCAAGGCGAGTTACTGACGTTGGCTTTGGCTTTCTTAATGTTAGTTGGGGATATCTCTTTTCAAAGGCTTTCACCAATCTTCTCCAGCAGTTTGACTTTTGAAAGGGTGCGGAATTCTATTGCTCTCTGCATATTGATATACGTGAGATAAAAAACCGATTTTATCAGAGCAAAAAAAAGATTATCCATGTGAAACAAGACTTCTATCAATTCAGATTCTTGTTCAGCCGAAAAAACAAAAATTACCTATGAAACTACCATTTTTGTATCCATATATAATTAGAATAAGAATAAGAAGCGGTTACCCGTTTTACCCATACCCGCTTTGCCCAAAAGATACTTTTTCACGTTTTGTAAAATAATCTCAAAATCTTTATCAGAAATGTTGCTCAAACAATAAGAATTCTACGCTGTTTTAATGCAGAATAATACACAAGTAACAGATTCAACACAACTGTAAACAGAATGAAGTAATTCATATTCACATATCTTGATATTTTTTTGTGAAACAGGCAAATAAAAACATTCGCGTCTCGGAGCTCCGCCGCGCGTCGCCGATGTTTCGGCCAAACTGATTCGTGTCGAAACAAGTTCGGGCGTTGCCACGAAACGCACACATATGCACAATCGGCTTGTATACTAGAATAACGAAGGCTACCCGCTTTGGGCGGTATACCCGCTTTGGGCTCACCTCCCCTAAATAAATATGCTTGCATAGTAGGTAGGTACCTACTAAAGATTATTCGAACGTTGAGTACTGATACCGCAGTGGATAATGAGCACATAATTATTTTGTTTACTTTGTGTGTGTGAATTTCTAATGCGACACTCCCGTATTCACAAACGATTCTTGCTTAAGTAAAGCAGCAAATCAAACGCACAGCGTTGAATGGAGCTCTGTGATTGGTTCATGTGTCCACGCGCACTGTGAGATCTCATAGTAATATTTGTGAATACGGGCGTTAGTTTCGAACTCAGAGCATTAGTTGGCATTTATCTATATCTCTATGGCATCAACCCTAACCAAAAACCAAACGCTTCTTATAATGCCCCTTGCTGAAATCGAATCCAGAACCTCAGAGTCTCAGGGCCTAACTCTAACCACTGAGCCATAAGAGCGTTCTAGAAATATAGAGTGATGTAATATTATGACATTATAATCGTAAAGAAGACAAACATTTAATGCTTTAATTACTATGTATGAGTTTGTGTAAATAAAGTTTTTAGAGCTACTTTTATATGTCACTAGCGGCCGCCCGCGACTTCGTCCGCGTGTTCCCGTTTTACCCCCTTAGGGGTTGAATTTTATATAGTACGGGACTATTCCCACCTCTCGTTCCCACTATTGCAACTCCTGTGTGGCTGTGTAGCCAGGATCTACAGCTTGACGGCCAATACCCGACCAGTGAAGCTCAAGTTTGTCCCAGGGAAAGTTAAACTGTCATTGGACCCGCAACGAAATTAATCAGAAGAACATAGGAGGAGTTGGAAGTTGAGGTTCGACTTCCCTCCATTGCAAAGTAGATGACAGGTGACAAACAAAGGTTGAGTGGGAGGACTGCCTACACTAAAAATACATGCATCAAACCATTACCCTCTTTTTCTCGATTAACCAACTCAATTTGAA